CCAAAAAAAACACCAAACCAACATTCCTTGGAAAATCTGAACAAAATGAGTGAGAACTACAGCAACGTCGTTCTCATCGGTTACTGAGGTCCAGCACATTCGGTATCCTAGAGACAGGAGTGAGGGACAGCTTCCCCTTCTCACACGCAAGCCAACAACTGCAAGTTTTTTAACAACTAAGAGAATTTTCTACGTGGTTGTGGCAATTATATTTACTTTTTTATTGATTTTAGAGAGGATGGTAGAGAGAGACACGGAGACAGAGACATAGACAGCGAGAGTGAGAAAGAGAGAGACAGAGAGACAGAGAGAGACAGAGAGATAGAGACGGACAGAGACAGAGAGAGACAGAGAGACCGATATCATTGATTGTTTGCCTGCTTCACGCCCCTACTGCCCTCTGAGGCCATAGCCTGGGCATGAACCTTAAGAATTGAACTATGACCTCTTAAAACATAGGTCAGAGCTCAAACCCTGAGCTACACCAGCCTCCCCACAGGGCTTCAGTTTTAATCAGAAGGCCTGTACCCACACAAACGTCTATATTTGCCACCAACCTTCCCGCAGGCAGTCACACCTACACACTGGAAGTCACACATGCACAAAGGAAGTCACACCTGCACACAGGAAGTCACACCTGCACACAGGAAGTCACACATGCACAAAGGAAGTCACACATACACAAAGGAAGTCACACCTGCACAAAGGAAGTCACACCACACACAGGAAGTCACACCACACACAGGAAGTGCACTCGCCCCCTCTCATGCCTCAGGGACAGGAGAAGGGACAATCAGATGCTAGATCTAGGAAAGCGAAGAGGAAGGGATGTTACCTGAGGGCCTGGCACAGTACTCAAACGCACCTGTGCTTTGTGTCCACTTCTCAGGCGGAGTTGTCATAGGAAGCCTGTTGTCCCCGTCCCCACAAGAGACCACCCTACTCTCCACCTGGGATTAGGACGAGGCGGGTCCTGGAAGCCGTGTTTGCTGCAGTCTGTTTCATGCCCCTGGGGCACTCATGAAGGTAAGCCTTTCTCGGCCCCAAGGTCAGCCAGTTGGCACCATGTGTGTGAACAAAGCTCTTTGACCTGAATGTGTTGGGATCGATGATGATTCCAAAAAAAAACACCAAACCAACATTCCTTGGAAAATCTGAACAAAATGAGTGAGAACTACAACAACGTCGTTCTCATCGGTTACTGAGGTCCAGCACATTCGGTATCCTAGAGACAGGAGTGAGGGACAGCTTCCCCTTCTCACACGCAAGCCAACAACTGCAAGTTTTTTAACAACCAAGAGAATTTTCTAGCTGCTTGTGGCAATTATAATATTTATTTTTTTATTGATTTTATTGAGGATGGTAGAGAGAGTGACACGGAGACAGAGACATAGACAGCGAGACAGAGAAAGAGAGAGACAGAGAGATAGAGACAGACAGAGAGAGAGAGAGACAGAGAGACCGATATCATTGATTGTTTGCCTGCTTCACGCCCCTACTGTTCTCTGAGGCCATAGTCTGGGCATGAGCCTTAAGAATTGAACTATGACCTCTTAAAACATAGGTCAAAGCTCAAACCATGAGCTACACCAGCCTCCCCACAGGGCTTCAGTTTTAATCAGAAGGCCTGTACCCACACAAACATCTGTATTTGCCACCCACCTTCCCGCAGGCAGTCACACCTACACACTGGAAGTCACACATGCACAAAGGAAGTCACACCTGCACACAGGAAGTCACACCTGCACACAGGAAGTCACACATGCACAAAGGAAGTCACACATACACAAAGGAAGTCACACCTGCACAAAGGAAGTCACACCACACACAGGAAGTCACACCACACACAGGAAGTGCACTCGCCCCCTCTCATGCCTCAGGGACAGGAGTAGGGGACAATCAGATGCTAGATCTAGGAAAGCGAAGAGGAAGGGATGTTACCTGAGGGCCTGGCACAGTACTCAAACGCACCTGTGCTTTGTGTCCACTTCTCAGGCGGAGTTGTCATAGGAAGCCTGTTGTCCCCGTCCCCACAAGAGACCACCCTACTCTCCACCTGGGATTAGGACGAGGCGGGTCCTGGAAGCCGTGTTTGCTGCAGTCTGTTTCATGCCCCTGGGGCACTCATGAAGGTAAGCCTTTCTCGGCCCCAAGGTCAGCCAGTTGGCACCATGTGTGTGAACAAAGCTCTTTGACCTGAATGTGTTGGGATCGATGATGATTCCAAAAAAAAACACCAAACCAACATTCCTTGGAAAATCTGAACAAAATGAGTGAGAACTACAACAACGTCGTTCTCATCGGTTACTGAGGTCCAGCACATTCGGTATCCTAGAGACAGGAGTGAGGGACAGCTTCCCCTTCTCACACGCAAGCCAACAACTGCAAGTTTTTTAACAACCAAGAGAATTTTCTAGCTGCTTGTGGCAATTATAATATTTATTTTTTTATTGATTTTATTGAGGATGGTAGAGAGAGTGACACGGAGACAGAGACATAGACAGCGAGACAGAGAAAGAGAGAGACAGAGAGACAGAGAGATAGAGACAGACAGAGAGAGAGAGAGACAGAGAGACCGATATCATTGATTGTTTGCCTGCTTCACGCCCCTACTGTTCTCTGAGGCCATAGTCTGGGCATGAGCCTTAAGAATTGAACTATGACCTCTTAAAACATAGGTCAAAGCTCAAACCATGAGCTACACCAGCCTCCCCACAGGGCTTCAGTTTTAATCAGAAGGCCTGTACCCACACAAACATCTGTATTTGCCACCAACCTTCCCGCAGGCAGTCACACCTACACACTGGAAGTCACACATGCACAAAGGAAGTCACACCTGCACACAGGAAGTCACACCTGCACACAGGAAGTCACACATGCACAAAGGAAGTCACACATACACAAAGGAAGTCACACCTGCACAAAGGAAGTCACACCACACACAGGAAGTCACACCACACACAGGAAGTGCACTCGCCCCCTCTCATGCCTCAGGGACAGGAGTAGGGGACAATCAGATGCTAGATCTAGGAAAGCGAAGAGGAAGGGATGTTACCTGAGGGCCTGGCACAGTACTCAAACGCACCTGTGCTTTGTGTCCACTTCTCAGGCGGAGTTGTCATAGGAAGCCTGTTGTCCCCATCCCCACAAGAGACCACCCAACTCTCCACCTGGGAATAGGACGAGGCGGGTGCTGGAGCCGTGTTTGCTGCAGTCTGTTTCATGCCCCTGGGGCACTCATGAAGGTAAGCCTTTCTCGGCCCCAAGGTCAGCCAGTTGGCACCATGTGTGTGAACAAAGCTCTTTGACCTGAATGTGTTGGGATCGATGATGATTCCAAAAAAAAACACCAAACCAACATTCCTTGGAAAATCTGAACAAAATGAGTGAGAACTACAACAACGTCGTTCTCATCGGTTACTGAGGTCCAGCACATTCGGTATCCTAGAGACAGGAGTGAGGGACAGCTTCCCCTTCTCACACGCAAGCCAACAACTGCAAGTTTTTTAACAACCAAGAGAATTTTCTAGCTGCTTGTGGCAATTATAATATTTATTTTTTTATTGATTTTAGAGAGGATGGTAGAGAGAGTGACACGGAGACAGAGACATAGACAGCGAGACAGAGAAAGAGAGAGACAGAGAGACAGAGAGATAGAGATAGAGACAGACAGAGAGAGAGAGAGACAGAGAGACCGATATCATTGATTGTTTGCCTGCTTCACGCCCCTACTGTTCTCTGAGGCCATAGCCTGGGCATGAGCCTTAAGAATTGAACTATGACCTCTTAAAACATAGGTCAAAGCTCAAACCATGAGCTACACCAGCCTCCCCACAGGGCTTCAGTTTTAATCAGAAGGCCTGTACCCACACAAACATCTGTATTTGCCACCCACCTTCCCGCAGGCAGTCACACCTACACACTGGAAGTCACACATGCACAAAGGAAGTCACACCTGCACACAGGAAGTCACACCTGCACACAGGAAGTCACACATGCACAAAGGAAGTCACACCTGCACAAAGGAAGTCACACCACACACAGGAAGTCACACCACACACAGGAAGTGCACTCGCCCCCTCTCATGCCTCAGGGACAGGAGTAGGGGACAATCGGATGCTAGATCTAGGAAAGCGAAGAGGAAGGGATGTTACCTGAGGGCCTGGCACAGTACTCAAACGCACCTGTGCTTTGTGTCCACTTCTCAGGCGGAGTTGTCATAGGAAGCCTGTTGTCCCCGTCCCCACAAGAGACCACCCTACTCTCCACCTGGGATTAGGACGAGGCGGGTCCTGGAAGCCGTGTTTGCTGCAGTCTGTTTCATGCCCCTGGGGCACTCATGAAGGTAAGCCTTTCTCGGCCCCAAGGTCAGCCAGTTGGCACCATGTGTGTGAACAAAGCTCTTTGACCTGAATGTGTTGGGATCGATGATGATTCCAAAAAAAAAACACCAAACCAACATTCCTTGGAAAATCTGAACAAAATGAGTGAGAACTACAACAACGTCGTTCTCATCGGTTACTGAGGTCCAGCACATTCGGTATCCTAGAGACAGGAGTGAGGGACAGCTTCCCCTTCTCACACGCAAGCCAACAACTGCAAGTTTTTTAACAACAAAGAGAATTTTCTAGCTGTTTGTGGCAATTATAATATTTATTTTTTTATTGATTTTATTGAGGATGGTAGAGAGAGTGACACGGAGACAGAGACATAGACAGCGAGACAGAGAAAGAGAGAGACAGAGAGACAGAGAGATAGAGATAGAGACAGACAGAGAGAGAGAGAGACAGAGAGACCGATATCATTGATTGTTTGCCTGCTTCACGCCCCTACTGTTCTCTGAGGCCATAGCTTGGGTATGAGCCTTAACAATTGAACTATGACCTCTTAAAACATAGGTCAAAGCTCAAACCCTGAGCTACACCAGCCTCCCCACAGGGCTTCAGTTTTAATCAGAAGGCCTGTACCCACACAAACATCTGTATTTGCCACCCACCTTCCCGCAGGCAGTCACACCTACACACTGGAAGTCACACATGCACAAAGGAAGTCACACCTGCACACAGGAAGTCACACCTGCACACAGGAAGTCACACATGCACAAAGGAAGTCACACATGCACAAAGGAAGTCACACCTGCACAAAGGAAGTCACACCACACACAGGAAGTCACACCACACACAGGAAGTGCACTCGCCCCCTCTCATGCCTCAGGGACAGGAGTAGGGGACAATCAGATGCTAGATCTAGGAAAGCGAAGAGGAAGGGATGTTACCTGAGGGCCTGGCACAGTACTCAAACGCACCTGTGCTTTGTGTCCACTTCTCAGGCGGAGTTGTCATAAGAAGCCTGTTGTCCCCGTCCCCACAAGAGACCACCCTACTCTCCACCTGGGATTAGGACGAGGCGGGTCCTGGAAGCCGTGTTTGCTGCAGTCTGTCTCATGCCCCTGGGGCACTCATGAAGGTAAGCCTTTCTCTGCCCCAAGGTCAGCCAGTTGGCACCATGTGTGTGAACAAAGCTCTTTGACCTGAATGTGTTGGGATCGATGATGATTCCAAAAAAAAACACCAAACCAACATTCCTTGGAAAATCTGAACAAAATGAGTGAGAACTACAACAACGTCGTTCTCATCGGTTACTGAGGTCCAGCACATTCGGTATCCTAGAGACAGGAGTGAGGGACAGCTTCCCCTTCTCACACGCAAGCCAACAACTGCAAGTTTTTTAACAACCAAGAGAATTTTCTAGGTGGTTGTGGCAATTATAATATTTACTTTTTTATTGATTTTAGAGAGGATGGTAGAGAGAGAGACACGGAGACAGAGACATAGACAGCGAGACAGAGAAAGAGAGAGACAGAGAGACAGAGAGATAGAGATACAGACAGAGAGAGAGAGAGAGAGATAGAGAGACCGATATCATTGATTGTTTGCCTGCTTCACGCCCCTACTGTTCTCTGAGGCCATAGCCTGGGCATGAGCCTTAAGAATTGAACTATGACCTCTTAAAACATAGGTCAAAGCTCAAACCATGAGCTACACCAGCCTCCCCACAGGGCTTCAGTTTTAATCAGAAGGCCTGTACCCACACAAACAACTATATTTGCCACCCACCTTCCCGCAGGCAGTCACACCTACACACTGGAAGTCACACATGCACAAAGGAAGTCACACCTGCACACAGGAAGTCACACCTGCACACAGGAAGTCACACATACACAAAGGAAGTCACACATGCACAAAGGAAGTCACACCTGCACAAAGGAAGTCACACCACACACAGGAAGTCACACCACACACAGGAAGTGCACTCGCCCCCTCTCATGCCTCAGGGACAGGAGTAGGGGAGAATCGGATGCTAGATCTAGGAAAGCGAAGAGGAAGGGATGTTACCTGAGGGCCTGGCACAGTACTCAAACGCACCTGTGCTTTGTGTCCACTTCTCAGGCGGAGTTGTCATAAGAAGTCTGTTGTCCCCGTCCCCACAAGAGACCACCCAACTCTCCACCTGGGATTAGGACGAGGCGGGTCCTGGAAGCCGTGTTTGCTGCAGTCTGTTTCATGCCCCTGGGGCACTCATGAAGGTAAGCCTTTCTCTGCCCCAAGGTCAGCCAGTTGGCACCATGTGTGTGAACAAAGCTCTTTGACCTGAATGTGTTGGGATCGATGATGATTCCAAAAAAAAACACCAAACCAACATTCCTTGGAAAATCTGAACAAAATGAGTGAGAACTACAACAACGTCGTTCTCATCGGTTACTGAGGTCCAGCACATTCAGTATCCTAGAGATAGGAGTAAGGGACAGCTTCCCCTTCTCACACGCAAGCCAACAACTGCAAGTTTTTTAACAACCAAGAGAATTTTCTAGGTGGTTGTGGCAATTATAATATTTATTTTTTTATTGATTTTAGAGAGGATGATAGAGAGAGAGACATGGAGACAGAGACATAGACAGCGAGACAGAGAAAGAGAGAGACAGAGAGATAGAGACAGACAGAGAAAGAGAGAGACAGAGAGACCGATATCATTGATTGTTTGCCTGCTTCACGCCCCTACTGTTCTCTGAGGCCATAGTCTAGGGCATGAGCCTTAAGAATTGAACTATGACCTCTTAAAACATAGGTCAAAGCTCAAACCCTGAGCTACACCAGCCTCCCCACAAGGCTTCAGTTTTAATCAGAAGGCCTGTACCCACACAAACATCTATATTTGCCACCCACCTTCCTGCAGGCAGTCACACCTACACACAGGAAGTCACACGTGCACAAAGGAAGTCACACCTGCACACAGGAAGTCACACCTGCACACAGGAAGTCACACCTGCATAAAGGAAGTCACACATGCACAAAGGAAGTCACACCTGCACAAAGGAAGTCACACCACACACAGGAAGTCACACCACACACAGGAAGTGCACTGGCCCCCACTCATGCCTCAGGGACAGGAGAAGGGGACAATCGGATGCTAGATCTAGGAAAGCGAAGAGGAAGGGATGTTACCTGAGGGCCTGGCACAGTACTCAAACGCACCTGTGCTTTGTGTCCACTTCTCAGGCGGAGTTGTCATAAGAAGTCTGTTGTCCCAGTCCCCACAAGAGACCACCCAACTCTCCACCTGGGAATAGGACGAGGCGGGTGCTGGAGCCGTGTTTGCTGCAGTCTGTTTCATGCCCCTGGGGCACTCATGAAGGTAAGCCTTTCTCGGCCCCAAGGTCAGCCAGTTGGCACCATGTGTGTGAACAAAGCTCTTTGACCTGAATGTGTTGGGATCGATGATGATTCCAAAAAAAAACACCAAACCAACATTCCTTGGAAAATCTGAACAAAATGAGTGAGAACTACAACAACGTCGTTCTCATCGGTTACTGAGGTCCAGCACATTCGGTATCCTAGAGACAGGAGTGAGGGACAGCTTCCCCTTCTCACACGCAAGCCAACAACTGCAAGTTTTTTAACAACCAAGAGAATTTTCTAGCTGCTTGTGGCAATTATAATATTTATTTTTTTATTGATTTTAGAGAGGATGGTAGAGAGAGTGAAACGGAGACAAAGACATAGACAGCGAGACAGAGAAAGAGAGAGACAGAGAGACAGAGAGATAGAGATAGAGACAGACAGAGAGAGAGAGAGACAGAGAGACCGATATCATTGATTGTTTGCCTGCTTCACGCCCCTACTGTTCTCTGAGGCCATAGCTTGGGTATGAGCCTTAACAATTGAACTATGACCTCTTAAAACATAGGTCAAAGCTCAAACCATGAGCTACACCAGCCTCCCCACAGGGCTTCAGTTTTAATCAGAAGGCCTGTACCCACACAAACATCTGTATTTGCCACCCACCTTCCCGCAGGCAGTCACACCTACACACTGGAAGTCACACAAGCACAAAGGAAGTCACACCTGCACACAGGAAGTCACACCTTCACATAGGAAGACACACATGCACAAAGGAAGTCACACCTGCACAAAGGAAGTCACACCACACACAGGAAGTCACACCACACACAGGAAGTGCACTCAACCCCTCTCATGCCTCAGGGACAGGAGTAGGGGACAATCAGATGCTAGATCTAGGAAAGCGAAGAGGAAGGGATGTTACCTGAGGGCCTGGCACAGTACTCAAACGCACCTGTGCTTTGTGACCACTTCTCAGGCGGAGTTGTCATAGGAAGCCTGTTGTCCCCGTCCCCACAAGAGACCGCCCTACTCTCCACCTGGGATCAGGACGAGGCGGGTCCTGGAAGCCGTGTTTGCTGCAGTCTGTTTCATGCCCCTGGGGCACTCATGAAGGTAAGCCTTTCTCGGCCCCAAGGTCAGCCAGTTGGCACCATGTGTGTGAACAAAGCTCTTTGACCTGAATGTGTTGGGATCGATGATGATTCCAAAAAAAAACACCAAACCAACATTCCTTGGAAAATCTGAACCAAATGAGTGAGAACTACAACAACGTCGTTCTCATCGGTTACTGAGGTCCAGCACATTCGGTATCCTAGAGACAGGAGTGAGGGACAGCTTCCCCTTCTCACACGCAAGCCAACAACTGCAAGTTTTTTAACAACTAAGAGAATTTTCTACGTGGTTGTGGCAATTATATTTACTTTTTTATTGATTTTAGAGAGGATGGTAGAGAGAGACACGGAGACAGAGACATAGACAGCGAGAGTGAGAAAGAGAGAGACAGAGAGACAGAGAGAGACAGAGAGATAGAGACGGACAGAGACAGAGAGAGACAGAGAGACCGATATCATTGATTGTTTGCCTGCTTCACGCCCCTACTGCCCTCTGAGGCCATAGTCTGGGCATGAGCCTTAAGAATTGAACTATGACCTCTTAAAACATAGGTCAAAGCTCAAACCCTGAGCTACACCAGCCTCCCCACAGGGCTTCAGTTTTAATCAGAAGGCCTATACCCACACAAACATCTGTATTTGCCACCCACCTTCCCGCAGGCAGTCACACCTACACACTGGAAGTCACACATGCACAAAGGAAGTCACACCTGCACACAGGAAGTCACACCTGCACACAGGAAGTCACACATGCACAAAGGAAGTCACACATACACAAAGGAAGTCACACCTGCACAAAGGAAGTCACACCACACACAGGAAGTCACACCACACACAGGAAGTGCACTCGCCCCCTCTCATGCCTCAGGGACAGGAGTAGGGGACAATCAGATGCTAGATCTAGGAAAGCGAAGAGGAAGTGATGTTACCTGAGGGCCTGGCACAGTACTCAAACGCACCTGTGCTTTGTGTCCACTTCTCAGGAGGAGTTGTCATAAGAAGCCTGTTGTCCCCGTCCCCACAAGAGACCACCCTACTCTCCACCTGGGATTAGGACGAGGCGGGTCCTGGAAGCCGTGTTTGCTGCAGTCTGTTTCATGCCCCTGGGGCACTCATGAAGGTAAGCCTTTCTCTGCCCCAAGGTCAGCCAGTTGGCACCATGTGTCTGAACAAAGCTCTTTGACCTGAATGTGTTGGGATCGATGATGATTCCAAAAAAAAACACCAAACCAACATTCCTTGGAAAATCTGAACAAAATGAGTGAGAACTACAACAACGTCGTTCTCATCGGTTACTGAGGTCCAGCACATTCGGTATCCTAGAGACAGGAGTGAGGGACAGCTTCTCCTTCTCACACGCAAGCCAACAACTGCAAATTTTTTAACAACCAAGAGAATTTTCTACGTGGTTGTGGCAATTATATTTACTTTTTTATTGATTTTAGAGAGGATGGTAGAGAGAGAGACAGGGAGACAGAGACATAGACAGCGAGACAGAGAAAGAGAGAGACAGAGAGACAGAGAGATAGAGACAGACAGAGAGAGAGAGAGATAGAGAGACCGATATCATTGATTGTTTGCCTGCTTCACGCCCCTACTGTTCTCTGAGGCCATCGTCTGGGCATGAGCCTTAAGAATTGAACTATGACCTCTTAAAACATAGGTCAAAGCTCAAACCATGAGCTACACAAGCCTCCCCACAGGGCTTCAGTTTTAATCAGAAGGCCTGTTCCCACACAAACATCTATATTTGCCACCCACCTTCCCGCAGGCAGTCACACCTACACACTGGAAGTCACACATGCACAAAGGAAGTCACACCTGCACACAGGAAGTCACACCTGCACACAGGAAGTCACACCTACACAAAGGATGTCACACCTGCACACAGGAAGTCACACCTGCACAAAGGAAGTCACACCACACACAGGAAGTCACACCACACACAGGAAGTCACACCACACACAGGAAGTGCACTCGCCCCCTCTCATGCCTCAGGGACAGGAGTAGGGGACTATCGGATGCTAGATCTAGGAAAGCGAAGAGGAAGGGATGTTACCTGAGGGCCTGGCACAGTACTCAAACGCACCTGTGCTTTGTGTCCACTTCTCAGGCGGAGTTGTCATAAGAAGCCTGTTGTCCCCGTCCCCACAAGAGACCACCCAACTCTCCACCTGGGATTAGGACGAGGCGGGTCCTGGAAGCCGTGTTTGCTGCAGTCTGTTTCATGCCCCTGGGGCACTCATGAAGGTAAGCCTTTCTCTGCCCCAAGGTCAGCCAGTTGGAACCATGTGTGTGAACAAAGCTCTTTGACCTGAATGTGTTGGGATCGATGATGATTCCAAAAAAAAAACACCAAACCAACATTCCTTGGAAAATCTGAACAAAATGAGTGAGAACTAAAACAACGTCGTTCTCATCGGTTACTGAGGTCCAGCACATTCAGTATCCTAGAGATAGGAGTAAGGGACAGCTTCCCCTTCTCACACGCAAGCCAACAACTGCAAGTTTTTTAACAACCAAGAGAATTTTCTAGGTGGTTGTGGCAATTATAATATTTATTTTTTTATTGATTTTAGAGAGGATGATAGAGAGAGAGACATGGAGACAGAGACATAGACAGCGAGACAGAGAAAGAGAGAGACAGAGAGATAGAGACAGACAGAGAAAGAGAGAGACAGAGAGACCGATATCATTGATTGTTTGCCTGCTTCACGCCCCTACTGTTCTCTGAGGCCATAGTCTAGGCATGAGCCTTAAGAATTGAACTATGACCTCTTAAAACATAGGTCAAAGCTCAAACCCTGAGCTACACCAGCCTCCCCACAAGGCTTCAGTTTTAATCAGAAGGCCTGTACCCACACAAACATCTATATTTGCCACCCACCTTCCTGCAGGCAGTCACACCTACACACTGGAAGTCACACATGCACAAAGGAAGTCACACCTGCACACAGGAAGTCACACCTGCACACAGGAAGTCACACCTGCACAAAGGAAGTCACACATGCACAAAGGAAGTCACACCTGCACAAAGGAAGTCACACCACACACAGGAAGTCACACCACACACAGAAAGTGCACTCGCCCCCTCTCATGCCTCAGGGACAGGAGAAGGGAAAATCAGATGCTAGATCTAGGAAAGCGAAAAGGAAGGGATGTTACCTGAGGGCCTGGCACAGTACTCAAACGCACCTGTGCTTTGTGTCCACTTCTCAGGCGGAGTTGTCATAAGAAGTCTGTTGTCCCAGTCCCCACAAGAGACCACCCAACTCTCCACCTGGGAATAGGACGAGGCGGGTGCTGGAGCCGTGTTTGCTGCAGTCTGTTTCATGCCCCTGAGGCACTCATGAAGGTAAGCCTTTCTCGGCCCCAAGGTCAGCCAGTTGGCACCATGTGTGTGAACAAAGCTCTTTGACCTGAATGTGTTGGGATCGATGATGATTCCAAAAAAAAACACCAAACCAACATTCCTTGGAAAATCTGAACAAAATGAGTGAGAACTACAACAACGTCGTTCTCATCGGTTACTGAGGTCCAGCACATTCGGTATCCTAGAGACAGGAGTGAGGGACAGCTTCCCCTTCTCACACGCAAGCCAACAACTGCAAGTTTTTTAACAACCAAGAGAATTTTCTAGGTGGTTGTGGCAATTATAATATTTATTTTTTTATTGATTTTAGAGAGGATGGTAGAGAGAGTGACACGGAGACAGAGACATAGACAGCGAGACAGAGAAAGAGAGAGACAGAGAGACAGAGAGATAGAGATAGAGACAGACAGAGAGAGAGAGAGATAGAGAGACCGATATCATTGATTGTTTGCCTGCTTCACGCCCCTACTGTTCTCTGAGGCCATAGCCTGGGTATGAGCCTTAACAATTGAACTATGACCTCTTAAAACATAGGTCAAAGCTCAAACCCTGAGCTACACCAGCCTCCCCACAGGGCTTCAGTTTTAATCAGAAGGCCTGTACCCACACAAACATCTGTATATGCAACCCACCTTCCCGCAGGCAGTCACACCTACACACAGGAAGTCACACGTGCACAAAGGAAGTCACACCTGCACAAAGGAAGTCACACCACACACAGGAAGTCACACCACACACAGGAAGTGCACTCAACCCCTCTCATGCCTCAGGGACAGGAGTAGGGGACAATCAGATGCTAGATCTAGGAAAGCGAAGAGGAAGGGATGTTACCTGAGGGCCTGGCACAGTACTCAAACGCACCTGTGCTTTGTGTCCACTTCTCAGGCGGAGTTGTCATAGGAAGCCTGTTGTCCCCGTCCCCACAAGAGACCATCCTACTCTCCACCTGGGAATAGGACGAGGCGGGTGCTGGAGCCGTGTTTGCTGCAGTCTGTTTCATGCCCCTGGGGCACTCATGAAGGTAAGCCTTTCTCTGCCCCAAGGTCAGCCAGTTGGCACCATGTGTCTGAACAAAGCTCTTTGACCTGAATGTGTTGGGATCGATGATGATTCCAAAAAAAAACACCAAACCAACATTCCTTGGAAAATCTGAACAAAATGAGTGAGAACTACAACAACGTCGTTCTCATCGGTTACTGAGGTCCAGCACATTCGGTATCCTAGAGACAGGAGTGAGGGACAGCTTCTCCTTCTCACACGCAAGCCAACAACTGCAAATTTTTTAACAACCAAGAGAATTTTCTACGTGGTTGTGGCAATTATATTTACTTTTTTATTGATTTTAGAGAGGATGGTAGAGAGAGAGACAGGGAGACAGAGACATAGACAGCGAGACAGAGAAAGAGAGAGACAGAGAGACAGAGAGAGATAGAGATAGAGACAGACAGAGAGAGAGAGAGACAGAGAGACCGATATCATTGATTGTTTGCCTGCTTCACGCCCTTACTGTTCTCTGAGGCCATCGTCTGGGCATGAGCCTTAAGAATTGAACTATGACCTCTTAAAACATAGGTCAAAGCTCAAACCATGAGCTACACAAGCCTCCCCACAGGGCTTCAGTTTTAATCAGAAGGCCTGTACCCACACAAACATCTATATTTGCCACCCACCTTCCCGCAGGCAGTCACACCTACACACTGGAAGTCACACATGCACAAAGGAAGTCACACCTGCACACAGGAAGTCACACCTGCACACAGGAAGTCACACCTACACAAAGGATGTCACACCTGCACACAGGAAGTCACACCTGCACAAAGGAAGTCACACCACACACAGGAAGTCACACCACACACAGGAAGTCACACCACACACAGGAAGTGCACTGGCCCCCTCTCATGCCTCAGGGACAGGAGTAGGGGACATTGGATGCTAGATCTAGGAAAGCGAAGAGGAAGGGATGTTACCTGAGGGCCTGGCACAGTACTCAAACGCACCTGTGCTTTGTGTCCACTTCTCAGGCGGAGTTGTCATAGGAAGCCTGTTGTCCCCGTCCCCACAAGAGACCACCCTACTCTCCACCTGGGATTAGGACGAGGCGGGTCCTGGAAGCCGTGTTTGCTGCAGTCTGTTTCATGCCCCTGGGGCACTCATGAAGGTAAGCCTTTCTCTGCCCCAAGGTCAGACAGTTGGCACCATTGTATGAACCAAGCTCTTTGAGCAGAACGTGTTGGGATCGATGATGATATCAAAAAAAATAAACCAACAAACCCAAACCAACATTCCTTGGAAAATCTGAACAAAATGAGTGAGAAATACTTCGTCGTTCCCATCGGTTACTGAGGTCCAGCACGTTCAATATACTAGAGACAGGAGTGAGGGACAGCTTCCCCTTCTTACATGCTTCCATGCATCTCCCAGGGCATCAGCATTTTAGCCTGTTCTGTGTTATGTCCAGTGTCTTCTTTACCATAGTTGGTTCCTTACAGAACAGTTCTGATTGGTATGAGTATGCTGCCTAGGCACAATGGCCACCAAGCACCTAATGTGTCGTAGGTGGACTGTCTGGCTCTAGCCTTGGACCTGGTAACTCAAGGTGTCGGTTTCTTTTCTCTGCCGTGGTAGCCCCTGTAGCTCTGACTGGGGCAGCAACGTACAAAATGTGCATGGCTCCTGTTGAGGCCCAGTTTTCTGCTGGCAGTGATAGTTGTTCTTGCCTTTTAGTTGGTGAGAATTTGGGAGTTTCCTTTGGTGTTTTGGGGATACTGTTACCATAGTAATCTTTTGTGCTGAAATTGTGACTTTGTACTCCTAATGTTTGCTCTTTGTCCACATTCATGTGGACTGTGCCGGGGTCCTAGCACTGAGGGGATACTGCCTGTGCTGATGGCCAGGGCAGGGTTGCAAGAGTTGGGCGGGTCTGGGGTAGACTCCATGTTGTTCCAAAATATGTACTGGCTGTTTGCTTTAAGGAAGATCTTCTGCTTTCCATGGCTGTTATTATTATTATTTTTTTTTAATTCACATTGATTGATTTCAGAGAGGATGGGAGAGAGAAATGTCAGTGAGAAGGCAGAAACAGCTATGGATTGGCCACCTTCCAGCACACCCCCTACTGGGAATGGAGACTTGAACTCCAGGCACGTGCAGATGTGGTGTAACTGGGAATTGAGCCATGATGACCTTCTGGTTCATGGGTCAAGTCTCCAGCCCGGAGCCAAATGAGCGGGCTGAGGATGCTGCTGTTCTAGGAGCCTGTGGGTGCTTCGAGGTCTCCTGGCGGGTCGAGCCTGAGCAGCCCGGGACATGTGTTGTTTCCCGATGGGAATGTGGCCTGGTCCCAGGCCGTCATGTTTTCGAGAGATAGCCAATGAAGACCAGACACCCCTCTGCGTTTCCCCTGTCCCCTGGAGGGCGTTCAGCTTGGTTTGCACGGACATGTGCCTGGCTCAGGTGGCTGATCGCCTTCAGGGAGGCAACATGCATGCAGCCCTTGCGCTTACGGTGCCCGTCTCCGTGTGGGTGGTTTGTTGCCGTTTCGCTGCAGTTCCTTCACGTGTATTTGACCGGTTACAGTTTTCAGGGACGAAATGTCCAGGTACAGAGTCATCTTGCTTCTTAAGGGCATGTTCGTAGAACGGGTGTGTTTCTGGTCCTGCCTTCCGGACCTATTTTTGGAGTTGCGTGGGGTAAAATAGAGTGGGTTTTTTTTTTTTTGAACAAACAGTCTTTTTTTCCCCGTGGGAGGTGGGAAGCATGTCCAAGACGCTGGGCATAGAGCTACATGTTTCCCTTGAGAAGGCTGCTGCCCACAACACATGTGACCGATCAGTTGTATGACCTGCATGCACGCTGTGACACCCGCCACTCGTATCTCAGGGAGAGGGAAATGTGAGGGATGCTCAGGAAAGGAGAATCAAGTGGGTGTATTCCTGAGCACCTGGGCACAATACTCAAACACACCTGTGCTTTGTGTCCACCTCTCAGGTGGGGCTGCCGCGCTGGGTTCTGCTCGGGTCTGCCTGGCTGGCCTGAGTTCCGGGGAGTCCCCGAGGAAGGGTCGCGCTGATGGGTGCTGAGCGGGCATCCCGCGCAAAGGTAAGCGATTCTCTGCTTCTTTATCAGCCGTCAGTGTTTGGGCCTTAAGAACAGTTGGAGGCTTGTGTGGGGACCCCGGTAACACCTCCAACACCGGACTGAGTGCTCCCGGCTCAGGCGTGGGTCCTGGTGCCTGCCCAAGAGTACTCTGAGGGCATTGCCTCACCCAGCGAGCCACAAGTCCACGCACGCCGTTTTTTACAAGGTGCATTGATTGGGGTAACAACGATTGATAAGAGTGAGTGCATTTCAGTTGTTCAGTTCCCTAACACACCAAATGTGTATTGCAAGCCCGTCAAACTCAAAGGTAACCCGGCCGGATAAACAAGGTTTAAGTGTATGTAGGCTGCAAAGAAAACCAAAGCTTCGGTCTTCATAGAGTTTTGGAAATCCTTTCTTGCCTCCTTTTGGATTCTGTTCTGTCACCAAATTTAGGCCCCGGGTGCACAGTGCAGACTGTTTGTCTCCTGTTACAATGGCCCGAAACAGTGCTTCATAGGAGTCACCTTGTGAAATCAGGTGACAGGCAGGTTTTTGAGACGATTTATTTTCTTTCTGATCCGCCTGTAATCTTCACCTAAAGACGGAGGATACTTCTTTCATTGTGTTTTAGAGAGTTGAAATGGGAGGGACAGTGAAGTGGAGAAAGAGACATCATTGTTGCATCTTCACCTTGACCTCGGTTTCCACAAAAGTGAGATTTGCACTTGTAAACGTGAGTGAGAAAGAACATGCGTTCCTCCTTGGCTCCTTGGTTCTGTTGTTGTTGTTGAATCCATTGGGCCTTCATTTCCATTGGCTGATTATTTTTTTGATTCCTTAATTATTTGGTTATTTCGTCAAACTGTTTCATTTCTATGCGTTTTCACTTGTTTTTCGATTGGTCATTAACACATAAATAAACAAATTTCCCTCGAATGTCTGGGCCTCATGGGAACAAACACGGTCTTCAGCAGGCGTATTGCTCCTCATTTCCAGGTCACGTTCACACAAGAATGGCCTTCATTTGGCCTAGAGCCTTCCGGGCTCCTGTGTGTAAGGCCCCTTCCCGCATCGAAACCGCCCAGCGCTCCAGCCTGCCTTGCGCTGCCCTCAAGGGACATCTCTGGTGAGCAAAGGATGAGTGTGCGTCGGTCCCGATGCCTGCAGAGTGCCTTCGTTGGGTCAATGATGACAACCCTTAATCATGAAGTGACGTGATGACATAAAAATCATGCTCAATAGGATTACGCTGAGGCCCAGTAAGGTGCCAGTTTGGCGCCACCTCATTGGGGAGCCTTAGGGTTCTCCCGGGCGATGAGAACGGGTTCTCGAGGCGGGCAGACTCTCCAGAGAATGCCACGTGCCTCCCCCCGATCTCTGCCACGTGCACATGGGCTGCTCCATGTCCACACATGTGTTTGGTGCCCCTTGGTTAGGGCCCCGACAGCAAGACCAGAGGCCCCCCGCTGAAACCAGGCCTCTCCTCTGGTTGTGTCTTCCAGTGCGGCCCTCTCTCCAGATGGCGGTCGTGGCCTCCACGTGCAAGGTGAGTGGCTGTCTTCGTGTTGGACGCAGAGCACGTGTGCATGAGACAAAGATCGAGGCTCTCTGTAGGCAGAGTGGTTGCTGCATGGCCGGTTCAGTGTTGAAAACTCGCCAAATTCCTGTGCGCAAGCAGTATGACTCCTCTTGTGCTTTCTTGGAAACCCTAAGGGTGTGTGTGGTGAGAATCATATTTCTGGTTATTTTTTGTTCGTGGTGGAATCCATAGTGCCTCAATTTCCATTGGCGCATTATTTATGTGATTTCGTTCATTTGTTTGTTTCTTGTTGTTTCGTTCTTTAACTATTTTGTTGGTTTGGGGTCTGGTCATTACTGCAGAAATGAACAGATATTCTTAGAATTCCTGGTTTGCATTGAAACAACCTTGGTCTTCAAAGGGCTTGTTATCACATGCTGAATATTCCGGTCATTGTTGGTATATGGCCAGATTACTATCTCTAAGGAGACCACGGCCAGGTATAAGCAGCATGGCTCTTTTGCTTTCCTGGAAACCATGAGGGCGTGTGCTGTGAAAACTCCATCGCTGATTATGTTCTCTTGTTGTTGTTGAATCCATTGGGCCTGGATTTCCATTGGCTGATTATTTTTTTGATTCCTTAATTTGCTTATTTTGTCAAATTGTTTCTTTTCTCTGCGTTTTTACTTGTTTTTCCATTGGTCATTAGCACATGAATGACCAAATTTCCCTCGAATGTCTGGGCCTCATGGGAACAAACACGGTCTTCAGCAGGCGTGTTGTTCCTCCTTTTCCAGGTCACGTTCCCAAAGAATGGCCTTCATTTGGCCTAGAGCCTCCCAGCTCTTGTGTGTCAGGCCCCTTCCCGTGTCGGACCCGCGCCGCTCTCCAGCCCGCCTTACGCTGCACTCAGTCCCAGGAGACATCTCTGGTGAGCAAAGGACGAGTGTGCGGTGACCCTGATGCCTGCAGAGTGCCTTCGTTGGGTCAATGATGACAACCCTTAATCATGAAGTGACGTGATGACATAAAAATCATGCTCAATAGGATTACGCTGAGGCCCAGTAAGGTGCCAGTTTGGCGCCACCTCATTGGGGAGCCTTAGGGTTCTCCCGGGCGATGAGAACGGGTTCTCGAGGTGGGCAGACTCTCCAGAGAATGCCACGTTCCTCCCCCCGATCTCTGCCACGTGCACATGGGCTGCTCCATGTCCACGCACGTGTTTGGTGCCCCTTGGTTAGGGTCCCGACAGCAAGACCAGAGGCCCCCCGCTGAAACCAGGCCTCTCCTCTGGTTGTGTCTTCCAGTGCAGCCATCTCTCCAGATGGCGGTCGTGGCCTCTACGTGCAAGGTGAGTGGCTGTCTTCGTGTTGGACGCAGAGCACGTGTGCATGAGACTAAAATCGAGGCTCTGTGTAGGCAGAGTGGTTGCTGCATGGCCGGTTCAGTGTTGAAAACTCACCAAATTCCTGTGCGCAAGCAGTATGACTCCTCTTGTGCTTTCTTGGAAACCCTAAGGGTGTGTGTGGTAAGAATCATATTTCTGGTTATTTTCTGT